TGAAGTAGGGGTGGAGTTATCTCTATTTGAATTTGCTGCGTGATGCAAGTTATTTAGTACATGGAGGACTGCATGCAGCCCAGAACTGGAACCTCATTAGCTCTGTGTTTTACATAGTACCAGGCACACCTTACATGCAGCCACACACACCTACCTCTGCCTAACCTTTTTTTCTGGTCTAGTTAACAATCACCTACAGAATTTCCCTCATCTGTCTTTTAACTCGGTCGTTGTCCTAGCAGCAGCTGTAGCCTTGTTTATTGCTTAGATGTGCGTAGTGGTGAGCAGAGGTGCTTGCTATTTCTGGTATGGATGTGTCTGTGGGCCACAGGTGGCACCATGGGTCATCTGAAGGTGACTGTGCTGCTTCCAGGACACAGCCCTTTCCTTCACAGTAGTTTCAGAGTGTGTTCCCAACTTAGGGAAGCAGCTGCTTTCCTCCACTCACCTGAGGAACATGAACTTCTGGTTCCATCTCAGGTAATATAAGTTTCACACAACTGATGTAAGTCCACCTTATCTCAGAGGCTTATATGCCACTTTAAGATGGTATCTTCCCCACCCATAATGTGGTTTGGATGTGTCTCTGGACTAAAGAATATGACTTCAGTTTTTTCAGAGATAATGATAGAGATGTGCCTTGTCTCTTGATGTTTCTATCAAGTCTTTCAAATTTAGGTTAGAGAAAAATGTGGTGAGATACCACAGCTTGAATGTGGGATGCCACAGCCAACTGTCTGCAGACACCATGTCCGCTGGGACCAAAGCACACAGAACTTGGTTGAACTTTGTCTGTTCAGCTTTCTGTGTTTCAATTTCCATGTTTCAGCTGAGGGACAAGTGAAATATCTCTGGGTACACTCACTTCACACTCACCACCATGGGATGAGACCACTCACGTACATCCCTGCAACTGGGATCCAGTCCCTGTGAGCCACTGATGGGGCAGTCACCCTGGAAATGTGTTTGTGGCACTTACTGATCCCATTACTGGCCGTTTGAGAAAAGGACCCTTGAGCCAAGGAGCCTGAGCTCTTAGAAGTGATCAGACTGCTGGAGGAGGTCTAAACAGGCCCTATGGGCTGCTGAAATAAGCTCCAAAGCTGTCGGTCCTGCCCTGTTTGTCAACACCATGTTCTCCTACAAAAGAAAAAACAGGACAAAGGAAGCACCAACACGAGGTGGGAGAATCAAGACCTCGATCCAATGTACTAATAATACTTAGCACTGTACATCACTGTACTGTTACTTACAAACATTAACTAATACATCCTCACAACACCCCTGCGAGGTAGGGAAATAGTATTATCCCCAGTGTACAGATGGGGAAATGGAGGCACAGAGAGGCTGACTTGCCCAAGATCACACAGCAAGGCATTGGCAGAGCCAAGATAAGAATGGAGACATCCCTTGTTCCCAACCCCATGCTGCCCCCCACTAGACGATGTTGTCTGGACACGGGGAACCCAAGAGGTCCCTTCGAAAAGCAATGCCTGGACTTGTTGCCTATTAATAATTTTTATTTGCCTTTAATGAATTATTTCACAGTTTTTCCCTCACACTGTACACCACGCTTTCACAGTCCGTTCAGCGTTCTGTGGTAGCCCACAGCCTTCTCCTCTGGCACCGGGACAGCTCTGTGGGGGCGGGGGTGGGGGGGTTGTAGGGTGCTCTGTGCTTTCATTAAGAGGATGTTTAGAAACAGTTTTCACTGGCATTAGACTGGGAGCATGTGAGCTCTCACTGGAGACTGGTAACACACACTGGAGAAGCAGGCAGAGGGAACTGATGGTAAAAAGGCATTTGCTATCCCCTGCGAAATGACCAGCGGCTCTCTTGGTTTCTTAGCTCTTCCAAGCTCTAGTGATCACTCAGAGCAGAAACTGTTTGTCTCCAACTTGCCTGGTCAGGAAGTTGTTGTTCTGGGGGTTGCTTCCCTAATGGGCAATAAGCAGTCAGCTCAGGACCAGAGAGGTCCGCCAGCATTGCCTACTCCAGGTGTGTGACACTGTCTTGGAACAAGGCTGGCTGTAGCTGTTGTGCTCTCCTGTCACGGGGAAGGGGTATTACCACGGTTGGCAAGCAGCCATATCCAGCGTCTAAGTCTCTTTTTTTTTTTTTTTTTTTTTTCAAAACTTGGGATTCAATGAAGAGCAAGGGAGAGTGGATGGATGAGGAGGTGAGGATGAGGCAGAGCAAACAGGAAAATCCACCAAATGAGCTTCTAGGAAGGAAATGTTCCCCCTTGGGCACTTCAGCTGAAGTGGCTTCATTTTCACAAGGCTTCTTTCTCTCTCTGGGAACATCTGCTGAGCTTCATCTCTGTCAGCTGGATATATCGTATGACATTGGTATCTGCAGGGAAAGAGCACACACATATATGTACGGTGGTTACAACTCCCTGTGGAAGACAGACACACTGCACCTTCATCCTTGGTGCCTCACCTGGGGAGCAACATGGCTCCAGTGCTGCCTGCAGGAACAGCATCAGTTGGAAGGGGCTCTGAACCAAACCCTGCAGCTTTGGTTTTGGAGAACCTGGTCTGATTTGTGCTCGCCATCCCTGTTGCTCATCATCTTGCCTCAGCTAGTTTTTAACCTTCTCTCTGATTACTCTTGGTCAGTACAATTGAATTTGCACAGTTGAAACTATGCAGGCCATCCTTGCCTGGTCTTGTGGAACGCCACCTCCATTGACTTCCTTTCTCCTGGTGCCTGCATGCAAGACCCTAAAGGCATTTGTGTACAGTTATGCTCTGCCTTTTCATTTTACAGTCTGTTTCACTCTTCTCACATTTTCCTATGATGACTTGAATTGGGAAGAGAATCCTTCACATTCTCTTTGTACCCTCGCTCGCCTTAAATTTCACATTTGTAAGTCCTTCCACCATGACACTGTCTGCATTTTTGTCATGTGCTTTATGCTGCATACTGCCTTGTCCATCCTGCCTAATGAAGCTCCTAGGGGCAGAGAACCACCAATTCATCCCTGGAGAGAGATCCCAGCACTATGCAGGTGGTAAGCCGAGCCCTCTTTTTCCTTCTAGTATTTCAGTGCACCAGCATAGCACATGGAACACAGGAGTTTTGTTTTACCTCCTGGCCTCAGCAATGAGGTTCTGTTCATCCTGAAGCACAGGTTGATCTAAATGACTGTCTCCAGATAGACCCCATGATTCTGCAGTCATGGTGAATCTTTTCTCAAATCATGTTGATTTACTATTGTGAGGGTGACTTCACATACACATGGCACCCACGTAGTGGCAAAAGCCATGTGGTATGAGAAACACGCAAGCAAAAAAATAGCCACTTTCACTTATGTATCAACTGAAAAATGGTTCTTTGCTCACAAACTTACTCAGTCAACAAGGGCCAACTTAGTCCACTTAAGTTATTAGATCCTCAGAAACCAATCTGAAGTGCACTGCAGTCCACAGTCAGAGGGCAATCTTGTCTCCTCATCATCCAAACAGCAATGTGCTCCACACCAGCCAGGGAAATGAGAAGTGCTTGAGCTTTCAAAGAACACTAGCAAGTGTGGGATTTGCACCCACCAAAGCAGTTGTGGGTGCAAAGATACCTTGAAACAGGAGAAGGGGACATCTCTGGTGTGCCGGGTGGGTTTCCCTTCACACAGAGCTCTCCTCAAACACGCCATGGGGTAGCACTGGGCTGTGGGGATGCTGTTGTGACTTCTCAGCCTCTCTCTGGGGAGGTGGGTCTCCCTGCTGGGTCTTCTGCAGGTTCAGCTGCATCATCCTAGTCAGTCCAGAGGGTGGGATTCAGTGATTAAGTTACTTGCCCCATTTGGGTCATTCTTAATGAGCCAACAAGTTCTGCTGTTGCTTGTGTTAGATAAGGTGCACCAGCACCCTGGGCTGTTCATGCATTAGCATTTCCTACCAGGCCAGCAAATTTTAAAACAGCTTCTTAAGAAACAGAATTGGTTTTAGTTGCACAGCCTGATGGCGTGAAGAAATTCAGTTGAGGCAGTAGCCCTGAATTTTAGGCCTAAAATAAACCCAGTGCACATGGTAGGCAGGTGGCTAACAAACACCCAGCAGCGTAAAGGTGCTGTGAAGGCCTGTCCCGGGGCAGGAGGTAACTGCGTGGGCATGTTAGGGAAGCACAGCTGCCTGGCCGAGGGGCTTCGGTGCACCCCTGGGCCGTGAAGGGCTGCCAGCCCCCTTCGGCTTGCTGGGAAGGTAGCTGGCTGCTGATGGCACAGCCCCACGCACCTGGGAAGCCAGGGGCAAACTAAGGTGTGGCCTGATGGAGGGCGGGAGATGCTCCCCTTGCAAGGTAGTTATAAATCTCCAGGGCAGGTTTTGGCATGTTTTGCTTCCCTTTTGAGGGCCACTAATAATGAGAACAGCACTCTGTTTAGATTAGTGGAGCCCTGTCTTTGTCAAGCCTTCTCCAGCAAACACTATTGCACCATACTAGTTCTGCCTGCAGAAGTATTTCAAAGCTCCATGTAAATGTTAATGAAGAGAAGACTCTCGCAGTGAGGAAGAAGTGATCCCCTTCAGCTGATGTGGAAATCACAGGTAAGGACAACTCAGATGAGGGGTCAGACCCATACAAAGAGACTCTGGCAAAGCTGCAGTGGGAACATGCCTCCTGGCTCTTAGGATCATCGCTGTGTCCTTGTGCAAAGTGTCTGCCTGCCATCATAAAGATCATTTCAGCTTCTCCCTGTAGCTGCAGAGCCCAGGGTGCTGTGCAGACACCATGGCCTGGGTTTTGTTCCCAGGACTTCTGAGGCCAGCTGATGGCCTGGGCTCAATCCCAGTCAGTACCTACCTCGATGGTGTGGCCCCACCAGTGGGAAATTGCTAAGCAAGGACTGAAGGTCCGGGGTACGTTTGGCTGCCCGTGCTGTGCCAGCCTCGGGACGCAGAGTTCACGGAGGGCTGCATGTGTGCTTTGCACAACTTAACAGCGGCTTCCCTCTCCCTTAGTAAGGAGGGTTATACGATTATCTTGTGTTATTTCCATCTGCTTTTGTGAGTTCTGTTTGGAGGTAGCATAAGAAATCAGGCCAAATCCAACCTTCACCCTCGACAGACAGTAGATAGCCATAAGGGATTTGCTGTGCTGAGAGCCCTTTAGAGCAGTAGACCCCTTTGCTAGCTAATTCCTCTTTACTATTTAAAATCTCCCCCACCAAAGAGAATAACTGCCAGTGATTTGTACCAAAACCATTTCTTATTAGAACAACAAGAACACACAGAACATGACTGTAATAATAACCAAGTGCTTTTACCAGTGAGCCTAGTGAAATATCAGATAAAGGAAAAAAATCAGATTTTGCAGGTGGAGACACTGAAAGTGGAGACGCTGACTTATTCCAGGTCACGTAATAATTCTTGATAGTGTTACTTGATTCCTACTACTGTGTTTTAACAGCCACATCCTTTCTTACTGTATGTATTCACTTCTTTCCCCCTGAATACCCTTTAGGTTTTCCACAGTCATAAATAAAACAGTTCAACACTGGCCTTGAATGGTCTAACAATAACAGGGAAGAGTCTCTGATGCAAAGCTGAAGGCCAGAACTGTTTTTTGTATACATTAAGGGCCTCTGGGGACACTTTCTGGTATGTTTTTGCAGCAAGCTGTGGTATTTGAAGCTGTTGCTGCTGAATAAATTAGTGTTTATTTCAAGAAGCAATGAGGGATACCAAATAAATAGTATCACGAGGGGTGTGGGGGAGCAAAGAAATACATATTTAAAAAATGGAAGCAAAGTGGCTCATCTAAGAAGACTTTTTCACATCTGAGTTTAGTCAGAACTCCAAGGTTAGGATAACTTATTTTCCGCTGACGATTTTTCTCTTGCACAGCCGTCTCCATTTCTTTGTTCTGGCAAGGGCTGAAAGCAGAAGGGCACACTGTAAACCAAAATAGGCTCAACTGTGCTTTTAAGCACATTTGCTCAAGGAGTGTGGGGCACACAGCTGTGCAGTCAGACTGCCCACAGCCCATGGCCAAGCGCAGCAGATGGGACCAGCACCCTTACGGGAGGTGGGTGAGGAAGGAGCCTGGCACACACCTAAGCACACCCTCCCTGGTGCTCCTCCAGGGCAAAGCCACCGCAGGAGCCCTGCAGGGCCAATGCCTGTAGGACATCAAGCACAACCAGCTCCGACAGCCTCCCCGGCCTCCTCTAGTTCACTGAACATCAGCTCCACCGTGCTCTGCCAGGCCCCAGGCTCACTCCTGTTTCATAACCAGTTTTTGCTCTTCCCTCTCAGGTTCAGGTGGAAGAGCTGCTCCGTGGGGTTTTCTTTGCACATGGCTTCTGTTTTGCTTTCTTTTGATCCTTTAATTTAACTTTCAGCATTACAAAATTCCTTTTTTTTTAACAGAAATGGTTTAAAGCATAGTGTGGTCTTTCCTCCCTATTGCTATTTGAAATATAAAAGCACCATCTCTGCCTCATGGAGATGCATTCTACCCACCCTCTGATGTTGGGTAGGTTAGCATAAAGGTGGTTGCTCTGGCAAGGCCAAGTTGTTTGAATATATAATTTCTTTGCTGTCCCAAAATGAATTGTTGGGTTTTAACACGTGGATAACAGATACTTGAATAGGCAAGTGGCTGATTTCAGAGCAAAAGGTGAAACATCCTGATGAATGCTTTGTGAGTAAACATCTGTCTCTTTGATCAAAAAAGAATACTTTTTTAACCTTTACTGAGATGGTGGAGAGCATGATTATTGAGAATTATAAATAGTCTCCTGGCTTTGCTAAGGGGAAAAAGCTGCTTCTCAAAGAGTCAGAAAATGTACTGGTCACGATACACTCTTCCTCATCCTGATTTCTTCTTTGAAAATAAACTGGGGAGGGAAAGAGAGGCAGGATCCCCTCCACACAGATGGCATTCCAGCAATACTGTCATCTTCCAGGTTGTGCTGCAGCCTCGGCAGTGGTTAATCTTTGGGGACTGCAACCCCGCTACACTATGAGAGGGTGCTTGAAGGGGTATACAGCTAAGGGCACACTGACTCATGCTCATCCCTATGGAAATCAATGCAGTGGAGCCAGGGACAGACTTAAGTCTCGTGAAAAGAAATGCAGAAGCTCTCAGTGCAAAGCCACATCCCCACTGCCCCCCGTACCTGTCGGTTGGCGGGATCTTGCCTCTTTCAGGTAGTAGAGGGCCTTGTTGAAGTCACCCAGGTGGTAAAACGCCACTCCCGATCGATAGAGCGCCTTGAAGTTCTCGCCTTCTTTCTGAAGCACTTTGAGGCAGTACTCCTTGACTCGCTCGTAATTCACCAGTTCGGCCTGGAGCAGGCAGGCTGCAGGGGATGGGGATGATGGGGAGACAGACAGACGGAAGAATATTAGTGATGTATTTCTCCCTGCTCCTGCAATCTGCACCGGGGAAGAGCAGTTTAGGTGAGGGAAATGACTCAGCCCCATGATTCAGAAAGGGTGCAGTCATACGGATTGTTTGCCAAACCCAATTGTTCGCAATTTGAATACCAACACATCTATTTTTGGCATTGCAAAAAGTGAAGGGATTGTGTTTGCTCCAGGGTGCGGGTGTAGGTGGGGTCGGGGGGCAGGGAGTGGAGAGCGAGAACAAAAACATCCCTACATCCCTCCCCAGAGCGGGAATGCTGTGGGGTCTCATGGCAGGTCCCTGGCTTCATTTGTGGTCAAATGGCTTCTCAGACTGAGGGCTGGAGCTCTGGAAAGTACAAAAAAGCAGTCAAACAGTTATCTAACAAGCCAAAAATGGGCTAAATTGGATCAAATTTTGTATTTGGCTTAATCCAAAGCTGTTAGGTTTACAAGTAATATGTAATTGCCTTTTTTCCAGAAGGTCCTGTATGGAGTTTTGCTATCAGAAATAAGAAGGGGCTCTCCTCTGTTGGGGTGTGCTGCTAGCAAACCAGAGACACCTGGAGTTGTAGTACAGGGAGCAAGTGTGCTACACTGTGTTGCTTGTATTGCAACACAAATTCATGCCAAGAGGTCTGTTCTGCTGACTTCCTAAAGGAAAAGGTAAGCACTGTGAAGAAACAGCACGCTGAGGACTCTGTGTGCTGAAGGACAATTGCTGCATAAAGGTCAAGGAGTTGTTGAAAATCCTCGCAGTGAGCTTCCCATGACTAGGACTGAAATAAAGAGGAAAGGGGGAGATCCTTGAGGCATGCTTTACAGCCCTCTTCGTGGCTTACTGTAGTGCTCTAGTCTGGCAAGTTAACTTCATTAGGCATACTGGGCATTAAGAATGGTTTGGGCAACACTGACAAGAATAGGACAGGGTGCAGTCACAGTCTTTAGGGAAATGAAGAAAGCTGTGCTGTCCACAAGCCCGCCTGGTGCTGCAACCTAAGGCAACTTTGGGAATGACACAATTTGGGGAAGGAAGGCAGGATCAGCTCAGAGGCTGGCAGTGTTAAGTGCCAGGGCATGGAGAGAAATTTCCCATGGCAGGTGGTGTTACTCAGCATGTCTCTGGAAAGGAGAGGACTCCCTGCTCCTGGAAATCCAAGTTATCACAGTTCAGGTGTCACCAATGAACAGCCAGACTTCATTTTTTGCATGGTAACTGCAGCCCACAGCTGAGAGGATACAGTGGATATAGTTCTTGATCCCCTTCACCCTCTCTGTATCTCACTTCACATTTCATGTGAAGGAGGTTGGCTAGATGACATCCAGAGAGTCCTTCCAACCTAAATTAGTCCTAGTCTATGATCAGTTAACACGGACAGAATACATTCCTAACCCTAGTACACCTTTAAAGCTTAAATAGCTAACTAGGAACAATCATAAACAGGCTTTTACCAGTAGGGAACTGATGATACAGATATGTTGAGCAAGGACTGCAGAACTAGCCCCACTGCTGGTACGTTTGGTTGAGTGATGCAGTAATTACTAAGAAGAGCTTTGTCCCATTTGCTTTAATGATAGACTCTCAATATATTTTAACAGCTCCTGCCATTAAAGTGCATAGGCATTTCAAAGGCATCCGCTTACTCGCTATTTGATTGCCAGTTAAAAAACACATATGTTTCTAAAAGCTTAGCAGCATTTCCTCATGCAGAATTTGCCCCTTTCTATTTGTCAAGTGCTGATTTTTCTCACTTTGTTTCTAATGGAGCTTGAAATGACTGTGCCTTGTTTTCCTTTATTTTTCAAAGCTATTAAAAAGATGGCTGTGCAAATTTACTGCTGGCTTCACAGCCCTGGAAACAGGATTTCTTTGTTTATATGCTGACCAGTAGCATGTACAGCAGTGGCAGTAGCTTTCTTGCACACTGCCAATCTGATCCAGCCTTTCACGTTCTGTGAAACTGCCTTTCAGAGCAACTGGGGGGGGTGGATTTCAGTCACACTGTTCATTTACTACTTGGTATTTCCAGTCAGAGTCATAGAAATGACTCTGTGAGAAATGACAGGCAGACTATTCATGTATATTAACTCAGTAATTCCGTATTGGACTTGCTTCACGGACTGGTTTAAAGAAAAGAGTAAGTCTCCCACATCCTGCTAATTCATAAACTCAGATGGGTTTCCAGATACCCAGCTGGGTTCTTTCTGTGACTCACACTCACAGCAAAGACCCTGCGGGGCATCCCCACTAACCATGCACGCAGCAGAGGGAAGTCAGTACCGCATGGCTAGTGGGAAAGACGCGTGTTTATCCGAACAAAGCGAGCAGATGGATGTGCAGGAAACAGTTCTGCTGGAAGAGTTGGCCATTTGGAGAGCCAGCGTTGGAAGTGGCTGTTGGAAATGAACCTGCAGGGAGTATCTCTCTTATAAATATTTAGAAGTGCGTGCTTTCAGTTCTTGGTGGACTGAAATGATCTTAATGGACTGTGATTCAATGCAAATATTGAGGCTGTTAGTAATTCAGCTTTCAGAAAGGGAAGAGACATGGAATCCTTGTCCTTCCTACCTAATTCAGTCAGAGGAGAATTGTTTTGAAAACGTGTTGTTTTCCTAAACAGACATGTGCATCTCTGTCTGGGAGTGTTTGTTTACCACATCAAACACCTCATCACCCTCCTTCTCGGTTCATAATAGGCCTCCAGTGAATCCTTCTGAGGTGTAGAGCTCCCGCAAAGTGACCAAACCGAGAGTTTTATCCAGCTCCTCCTGCTTTCTTGAAACTGCATGGGCTTGATCCTGCACAGCACCATCTCTAGTAGCTCTCTGGTGATTAGAAGGATGCTCTTTACTTGCAGATGCAAACTATAGTTTCATTCCTTGCATGCCTTCTTGTCATTGTAATACAGCATCTGGTGGCTACATCTCTCCAGCTCAATGTAGGGTGTCCTGCTTCCCTGCAGTGTGCGATGGCTATCCATCATACTTAGCTATCATTCTCAATTTGGCAGCTGATTTATTGTGTCAGCTTAAGCAATAAGTAACTCCTAATTTTTAAAGCCATGTGTGTCACATGGTGATGAAGAGTCCCTGTCTGCTGTAAAATATGCCGTATTGAAACTACTGGCTGAAATGTGCCATGGGGAGTGGGGGAAGGTTAATGCTATTAGCTCTGATAGAGGAGCCCTATCCATCACGCTTCCCAACTGACTGTTGATGTTTAAGCAAGAAAATGGGAAGTTTGGCTGTTTTTCTTCATAAAAGGAGTGTTAAGCCTAGATTTCTAAATTTTAATTTGTGGACTCAATCTATGCCAGCCAGTGTCATGCGCTGCAGTACAGATCTGGTACCAGTAGATAACCATACCGTTAGAGTTAATTTGTGTGGCCCTGCTCAGCACAAGGTTAGGCAAAACAAAGATTAAAGCACCTGTAGAGCCAAAATACATCTACACCTGTAACCTTTAACAGTAGCTGTGGTTAGCAATGGTGGGAGGTTGTAACTAAAATCCCAGCAGTTGAGGGGTTTGGATTCTGCTTTATTGCACCCTGAATTAATTTTGAATTCCAGAGTGTTTTTCAGGAAGATATCTAGGTCTGACAGGTGCCAGTGAGAAAGGATCCATGACAGCCCTTTTCTCCAAAAGGTTAAATACTTTAATTGTTTAAGAAATGTTACTACTTTTTTATACTGCTTTTTTTTTTTTTGCTTAGTTGCAATTACTAGCCACTGATACAATCACTAGCCACACCTTTGCTACCCTGAAAAGCTTGTGTTTTCTTGTTGCACTGGCACTCTGTGACTGATCAAGTCACTCCATCTTCTCTTTAACAGCGTGCATAAAGAAACGCCTAGCAACTCTTACTAAAAAACGCTGTGTTTTTCAGCTTTCCTCAATTTTATAGCTGTTCTCTGAGCCCTCAAAATGAAGTTCAACTGAAAGTGCTGTCAGCATCTTACCAGAGAAACCTCTTCTGTGTGAATACCTCTGCAGGTTATGCAAATAGCTCAGTTTGGCCCAAACAGGCTTCTAATTTTGGAGGAGCGAAGTCTGGAAGTAGGATGTACGGGTTTTAACATGGGGATTTTGAGCAACATTATCAAGAGCCTTGTCTACCTGGTAATTTTCACCAAAGGCTAAATCTGCATGCCAGAACAATCCTCCAGACACAGTTTATACCAGTGGCTAAATTCCCACTGTAGGCAAGGCTTAAGACCTATCCATGTTACAGAACACTTAAGAGAGTGAGCCAAATTACTGTGCAAACAATGTTAGTGTATCCCTACCCCCTGGCATGTTCCTTGGGCTCAGCACACTGTGTTAGTCATAACAGGAATTCCCTTGCTGTTGTTCTGGGAGATGAAAATGCCCTTGCCCTACAGGAATATCCTGGGTTGCAAGTTCATATTTCACAAACTCCTGTCTTGTCTGCAGTTTGCTATCACCTAGGTAAGCTGGTAGCACTGCCTATTTTTAAGAGTGCCTTGTGCCTTCCACTGTTGGAGTCAGCTGCTGATAACTTTGTTGGTCTTGTAAGGTATTGGACTAAAATATTCCATGTGCGATGTTTGCCTTTGATGTCTCCTTTTGGAAAATGTCAGCCAAGACTGTTCAGGTATTTTTGAAAAACAGGCTAGGGAAACATATTTTTCCCTTGTTAAAGATCTCTGGTGATCGTCTCTTTGAATTTGTCTCATGCCCTCTCATGGTTTGGCTTTGCAAACTGAAATCTGGCAGATATCATTTATGTCAAGCAGGTGCCTTCTGTTACCCCTAGGGTAATCTATAGCTGGCCAACTGATAACCTTCTGAAAATAAAAGCAGTATAGTACTGTGTATAGTACTCTGTAGAGATGCTTTAGAATTTGGTACCCAAATCCACTGAATATTCAGTCCACCCTGGGCACAATCTGATCTCGGAAAAAGCAGGGGTTTGGAAACTTGGCAAAAGAA